TTAGAATACAGTTTACGACCTTGAGGTTATGTCATAAAGTTTATATTCGATTCATCGATATTGAAATTGTTAATTATACCATGGTGTTTAGAATTGTGTCTATTTTAAATTACTTATAGTAAAATTACATATCTGAGTGCATGTTCGTCCACTCACAATGCGGATAGACGACTTTTTAAAGGTCGGAGACAGTCACTGAATGCAGGTCGGTCCCAATCTCGCCATGTGTAGTCTATGGGAGAGGACTTTGTGAGGCAGTGGACGGAGTGCGGCTGATATGATAAAACTTAAGTTTATGCTAAAAATAGCACTAAATTAAATCCGTAGGTTCTGTTGGAATGGGTGAACAACCTGCTTGATTCAATGTTGCAATCTTTTATTTGCCTTATCATTTCGCTGGCAGATAACTGTTGATAACTGTGTATCGTGATTGTAGGAATCAAGAGTGTGACATGTAATCTATTACATATTAGCAGACTAACTTCTGACAGCGGTTTTGCCCGCATTCCCAGAGTTTAGGGCAGCTTATGTGATATCGCAGACTGCAATCTATCTCTGTGCCAAGTTTCATTTAGATCGGGCCAGTAGTTTTTGCGCTAAAGTGAAACAAACATACATACATACGGTAGTAGGTAATCGCATTTATGATGCGGGATAGAACAGCAGCAGGCAGACGGATTACCTGATGGTAAGCAATGAGGGCTGCCCATAGACACCCGCAATGCCAGTGAAAATACTAGTGTATTCACGGTCTTTTAGGGGTGATACGGCTTTCAGTAACCGCAATCGTTCGTCAGTTGTTTCACGTCTGTCTTCTATTAGACCGTGGTTTCTTCAGTGATTGAGTGACTGTGACTGCTTAGCAGATATTACCTTTCTAGCTATGAATAAAAATGTAATATTATCACCTTAATTGTAAGTAGCTACTTGTGTTGGATATGAATTAAACTGTAGATAAGATTAGACCGATATATTCAATCGGAAAATCCTATTTGATCAAGGACCTTGACTGAAGATTATTTTATTATACACCACGTTTTCTTTTATCATAATCTGTCAGCGATTTTAACCGTCATCGTTTTTACTCTTATTGGGGTAGGATTTTTGGAGGTGGTTGCAGTAAAACAGCTCTTTTTTCTTATCTGGAAAATCCAGAAGCGAAAGGTTGCAAGAGATGGTGGCAATTTCACTGACACCTTTGTCATAAGAGCACACTAAATGACAACATTTAACAGAGGTCGGAGAACAGTGGTCTCCGATAAACTAGAACCCTTAAAATGCGGTCTCCAAATCCCCTTCTAAGCTTGGAAATTATAGCAAACCCTCTTACATAGGAGGCCTATTGTGGACTGACTGGAATGACTATGACTATTACTGGCAATATATAGGTGTTCTTAAGTACATTTTTAACCACGGTTCATAGTTAATAGACGGCGCTGATCGTTGACCATCTTAAGGTGATCGACGGACTCTCGCTCTTCTGTCTCAAAAAAACTGCCTCAATGTTTGCTTATTTGGAAAAATATCGAAAACAATATACCATATCCCGAGTCCTATTATCCCTTAGGCAAACTGGACAAGTGCCTAGGGCGCGAGACGCCTGTCCATAGAGTATAGAGTGGCGGTAGTGCCAAAAAAACCGGGGTGCCAAAAAAATCGGGGTGCCAAAAAAATCGGGGCGCCAATTAGATGCTTACCTAGGGCGTCCTCTTGCTCTCTAGGTTTATTTAATCCGTCTATGACCATACCCAATTCAGTATAAAAACATTCGATAATAGTTATAATCAATTCTAGGTTATGTAACCGCCATCTTGTTATGTCAAATAGTTTTACCGTCTACCGATAAGGAGTTCCACTTTCAAACTGTTTTTATTTTTCTTTTAATTCAGAGAAAGTTTGTCTCACTTTCTATGGTTTTCTTTTTTTAGCCCTTGGTGTAAATTGCTTGTTGATTGATTTAGTTTCCTCTTTGGTTAGCAGCACAATAATATGACAAGTCGGGAAAATATGTTTTAAGTTCATTGCGTAGAGTGTCAACGGGGTGGACAGATAGTCCCGATAAAGGTAGCTGGATTCAGGTCGCTCCCAACCGAACTGAAAGTCTTTAGATGCGTTGTTCAGCAGGAGACGTCATGTCACTTTCATGATGAAGATGAAGTCCAATGGTTAAGATCAAAAATGTTTCATTTTCATATAACTCCGTGACGAAACGGATAAATCGTAAAGCATAACTCATAAAAAAGGTCATGCATGACATTTTATCCATCCGTTACTACGTCCAAAAGGACGGTCCCGACTCCTGACTGACTCACATTAATATTACTGTAAGAAAATTCTGCACAGTCACTTACTCGCCCACCTTAGCAGATCATCGTACGTACCTCGTCATCCTGACCTCTAAGTTTCATGAATTTCAGCCAAGTTTTGAGTAATTTCCTTTGTAACTAAGGATGTTGGGGTAGTGATGAATGGATGTTAAATGTCGTGTTTGAGAAAGGTAATGAATATACAAAGATTATCAGATCAGATACGTTTATGCTTCATGCTTCGCCACGGGCTGGTTCGACCGGAGTCTCATAGAATTTAAATGTGAAATAACACTTGCGATGGGTGCAGTCCAAGCCAGGTCACCAACGAACTTGCTACTTTGCAACTCGTCTTGCGGGTTTCCATGGGCGGTGCTGATCCCTTACCATCAAGCCATTAGTGGGCTTAGTAAGAATAGGATAGTTGCCAGGCAATGAAAATTAAAAAAACTAATTAATCCGTCAGTTGGATAATGAAAAAATATTAGACGTATTTTTTTATTTTCTCGTATAAAGTTACAATACTTAGATATAATGGAGTTAAGTTTATGAGTGGTCGTTACGTCACAAAGTGCTACAAAATGTAGCGCATTGTGTCGTCACACGATATTACAGATTAATATATCGTCGAAAGTATTTAGTTTTGTGAGATAAGAAAAAATACGTGTCTAATGTTTTCAATTAATCTACCAGACGGACATTAAAATGAAATTTAGACAACTACCCTATTTGTATTAAGTTTAGCAAGATTGAAACGTTAACTCATTGCGTGTTATAATTGGTTGGTTCATTGGAGCAGGCCAATCAGCGTCGAACGTGGTAACTTTTTGATCTCCTTGAACATAAAACAAATTTGTACTAAACCCTCAGGTGATTCCTAGCTCATTTTTGTGTCTTGTCCCACTCAAATTCTTCAAGTTTCATCACCAATGTAGTCAATGTTTTCGTGTTATTTTATTTCGCGCGGTAAACTAAATAATCATATTAAGAACTCCAAACTTCTTAATAATGTTAATAATCGCTACCTACAAAAAACGCGAGAACACCTATTATTTCATTCATCCAATCGTATTTACAAAGAAAATAAAACCAACCGCTTTGCATAAAACTTTACAACTAAATCATGTTGGAGTTTGATAGTATCGGCCTAGGGTTGGCACGTAGCCAGGTCCTACGTCACTGGTGTCAACGCCTCTGTGACGCGACAACCCTGATTGTCATTGGATTGTTATTTCTGTCAAATTCTGTTACCACGAACTGTCCCTTTGCCAGGAATAGCGGTTTCACCTTCGCGTTCCTTTTTTCTTTGAGGGTTTTAGATTTAACTGAGAGCTGTTTGGAATAGGAGTAGTGATGATTTTGTCTCAAAAGGACTTAAAAGTATAACACGGTGTACCAAACTAGATAAACCTCAATATTGAAATGAACCACTACAATTCTGGAGTATATGAGGAGCATTTTTAATCGTTTCTCATATCTTTTTTACAAATTTTTATATTGGCTTTTTGTTCTTTGCATAAAAAACGAGTCCATTTTGATTCTGACATAAGAAGGTATGCTTAAAAACATTAAAACGAATATACGTACATTTTTTTATCTAAATCTCACCTTCACTCCTTCAACCAACGCCCCCAATCCACCGCTGACGTAAATATATCCAATACAGCGTGAAATTTCAACACAGTACCTTCCTAAAACAATTTTTAGGTGTCCTATTTCGTAAGGGTCCCTAAAGTACGTACCCTCTACATCAAAGTGTCCTGGTACCTAAGTAAAGATTGGGAACGCGCTTTTGATCGTAAGGGGCTGCCCAAATATTTATTTGCTTGTATGTATGTGCTCCACTGCTCGGTTTGATTTATATGGTGGTATTCTTGAGTTGGGTTAGGTTTTAGTATAAGGGGTTCTAAGGGTATTTTTTGGCTAATAGACTTCTGTATACTTAGATAAAGGTAATATTACATTTACTACGTCAGATTATATGTTTGATTGGCTGAGGAAATAGGAAAATGATTTAGTTAATAAACACAAACCAAAATATAGTAAATAAGGAAAATCAACTAGTTAAAATATTTAGCACACAGATTAATAATAATTACCAAATAAATAGCCAAATACCTAAATCATCGAAAGAGCTTAATCAATATGTGATAAATATCTAGGCGAGTCCACAAAATACTGTCTCCAGATGACGATCGACATTTTTATCATCTGTCAATGTCATTACAATTTTCCCGTCAACGCTGTCAACGTAGTTCTCTCCTAATCTAATAGATGTCGCATTGTCGCCTCTTCATTGCCTGTTACTTCATCAACCAAAATGTTTATGCATAAAACTGACCATTAAACAAAATCTATTCCCGACATTCTTGTTTTTAACCTTGAATACAAACAAATAGTATACGACGATCCGTATTCTGATGTTTCAGTATTTTATCGAAACGATCCCAATGCAATTACATCTTCATAAAGTTAATTGACTGTTTTTACCAAGTATACGGGTCGGGCAAAAGTATTATTGGGTGTTTTTGATTCAGTAACTCTCCCAGCTTATCTAATCTACTGGCTATTAGCTTTGCCCTCCTCTAGGGGGCTCACAATAAGCGAAAATGTCTTAAAAATCCTCCGCCTAAGGGCATGATCATGACAAAAGATGTAAATAAAGACGAAACTAAATAGATTCATTTGTTTCAGACTTCTGACCCTGAACAGGTATGTTAATTCAAAATCATTATTAGAATTCGCCTGCATGATATTACGCTACATGGAATTTTCATTGAAACTTAACAAAATTGCCTTTTTGGCAATGGTGTCTTGCTAACGGGTCATAAGCACATGGTCTAACTAGACTAACGATTTGAGGCTTCAAAATAGCTTTTTTTCTAATCTTTACAAACTAAACCTGCATTATTATTGGGCAAGGAATGCTGGGTTAGATCATTGCATATTTCTGAATTAACTTACTATCATAGGTACTAATATTATTACCTAAAAACGTTGATGAAAACGTTAAGGGGTTTGTCATTCTTTCACGCTTAAATTACAAATATTGAGACAGAGATATAGTAAAAATGGGTTACATTTTATTCCGGTTATGTGGGCAAAGCCGTCGGCTGCTATTAGTCTTTTATATATTGACGAAATATCCCCTTAAGTCCTCAATCTCCTGCATTTTGCAAAGGAATTGTCATTATATCTTTTCTAATCAAATTTCGAAAAGATACGTAGAACCTTTTGACATGTTTTTGCTAAAAAACCTCAAACTAGCTACTCCCACGCCGTCTAGCCAGCTGCGGGGCTCCTATTGACCGTAGCTTGATGTTTTATAGTCTATATCCTCCATCAATAAATGAAAAGCAGTTTCTTGCGAACGAAATCGAGTTTACATCGCTAGTATAAGCGTGGATGTTGCCAGAATACAACCGGCGATATGAATATCCCACGCATCTAAATATAAGTTGTTTCAATATTCGTATATGACCGTGACAATTTCAGCCGTGCCGCTTCACTACCCGGCCAAGAGTAAGGCCTCTGACGTGGTGTTTCATAAGGTATACGCATAATAACATAATACAGAGCAGGATAGCCAATATATCTCCACTTCTACTCTTACTGCAGTTGTCTTAGGAGCCGACTAAGGGACTAACAGAGAGCAAATGTCTGGTAGAAAATTGCAATCAGCATTTCACAGAATAATTCTGGCAGATAGGGTAAAATACTTTTGTCACGGTGTCATAAGTGCACTTGGGAGATAAGTAAGGGAGAGCCATGCTTCGGCACGAATGGGCCGATTCAACCAGAGTGATACCGCGACTGAGCAGTTAACCGACGTCAAACAACAATAGCTTTGTGTTTCGTCGTGTGAGTAAGGTTACTAGAGGCCCAATCACCCCCCTCCTCGATCTCTAATTCCCCAACAATCCTCAAATTCCTAATCCCCAAAAACCCGGTAACGCATTTGAAACACCCCTGTTTCGGGCGTCCATGGGTGGCGCCGATTGATCAGGTGATCTGTCCGCTCGTTTACCGGGTTATACCATTAAAAAAAAACTTAACTTATGGTCTACCGGACTACGCATTGGACAGACACGCAGACAGACCGAGCATTGGCGTTCGTATAAACCTGAACCTTTAAAATTGCGACCTCAAACCTTCACGTCAAGTGTGAAGACATAATCTTTATACTCGTCGTGTAGGTTATGTAGATAAATGACAACTGATGCCTTACTACAAGTTTGATTTACGTTTAAACTATTCGAAACGAGTACGCGTTCGGCGCTCTGATTGGTTGGTTCATTGGCGCCGGCCAATCAGAGTGACGAACGCGTACTCGTATCGCATACTTTAAACGTAAGTCAAACTCGTACTAACGCCTCTGTTAGTAGATGAGGTCCGTCGATCAGCGGTAGTGTCCGGAGCTGTTCATGATGATGATTTTGATGGTACTTAATGTACCCCACTTGAATGGACGGAATTTATTATCATATCAACAACTTAAAATAAAAACATCACTCTCAAATCTTCACGAAGAGAAGATATAACATCAAAACAAATAAAATACAACGAAATTAAAGAAATATCATCAGGATGTTTATTTTACATGTCCATTTGACGTTACAGTAATATTACATCATTTGTAATACGTTTACAACGGAGCTTTGAATTCGCAAAAAGCCAAGGTGCCAAATAGTCATAGATAAACTCTAAAGACGTTGCTTTTTTTGCAGTCTGTTTTTATTTTCTAAAGTGCAATTAGAGATATTAAGAATGGTGCTTAATGGGTTTTATTAGTCATCCTTGCCTTGGGGCAAAATATTATATGGATTGATTTCTTAACTATCAGAGTAGAATAAGTCCACCTAATCTTATACTTCTATACTAATATTATAAAGAGGAAAGATTTGTACCTATTTTTGTATGTTTGTATGTTTGTAATGAATAGACTCAAAAAGTACTGGGCAAATTTAAAATTTAATTTCATTTTGAAAAAAATTAGGGACCCTTGGTAAAATTTGAACAATGTAACCGAAGGTGTAGAAAAATGAGTCTTAAAATGTCTTTCGTCGAATGCGCTGCCGAAACTATTAGCTATAGAACAAAATATTGTACAACAATATTGAAGAACATCATAATGTCTACAAAAAACTCCGCGGCAGCATAATATGCTTCATTCTATTTATTTATTAGGTACACAAAACAGAAACACAGCACAATACACAACAGAGTAACAATACAAAACTGTAAATGGCAGACCATGCTTCCACAAGTATGTGCACACAACATGACATGCAACGACTAGTATTTATTTATGAACAATTATTTTGTCATATTGGCGTTCCGTAGTCTCTGCCTATCCCCATGGGTGACAGACGTGAAGTTATATATGTGTGTACACACAAACTCAACTACACAAGTACTCCATAATTTAGTATATTACTTACAAAAGAGTGTTTTGGAGAAGAAACCTTGAAGATCTGTTGTTATATGAATTAGTTTCACGTGAATGATATTGGAACGTGTAGTGGAACATTATTATCGCGCTTAGTGTGGCTTCAGTCTGGGTTTGATACTCTGTGACATGACATATTGACAAAAGAAAGAAGTGTGGGAGAGCCATGCTGAATGAATGGGCCATATCGACAGAAGCGATACCATCTATGATAGTGATAACAATAGGTAACAGCTTAGGTGTAAAAAGAAGGGATATAGTGAATGGTGTGAACACCTTATTACAATTAAAAGTGGGAAAAATAATGCTTTGTGCATTCCCATATTCTGACTGTTTGTCACAGTCAAAAAATAAACACATTGGTGTACTAAATAGTTCATTACACCAACTGACATGTTGTCATAGCGACAAGCTTTTATTTTTCGATACTAATAAGTTTATTAGTGATTTTAAATTGACAGAGAAAGGTGTATTGTACCTTTCAAAAACATACAGACAAAAAAAAGAGTAACGAATGGAGTTTCTTGCTCGTTCTTCTCCACTCGAATCGACATTTTGGAACGAGCGCCTAGCTTCACTGACGGACAGACTGACAGACTATTATATATCTCATATTTGTTGACGTTTCAAAAGTACCAAATTATGGTTTAATTGAAATAAATGCTTTTGAGTTTGAGTTTGAGTTTGAGACGGTATAACAGAAAGCCGACGTGAAACAACTCTTGCGTTGTGTTGCGTCGTGTGAAGGAAGTTACCGGAGGCCCAATTACGACACGTTTCGACCCCTTCCCCAATCCCTGAATCCCTAACAATCCTCAAATTGCTAATGGAATTTTTGGATTCTTAGGGATTCCCCAAAAGGCCGGTAACACACGCTAAGCGGATGATCCTATTTTTGCGATCATACGGAACTCTACTCTCCGTTCCTTAAACTGTCGACACCAAGCGGTCACCGGTGACCGCAACCTATTGTTCTATAATTGTGTCTACAAAACCGGTACTCGACGAGTTAAGCCTTTGACTGCCGCCAGAAAACTGTTGAAGGCAAATCCTCCGCTAACGTAAGTGGCGGTTAACGTGTTCAAGTCTAGTTAGGCTATCGTATATTTACTGGGGTATGTGATGTGGTCCGTGAATCTGCAAATCCCCAAACCTCAAATCTCCTAATCCGCCACAAGGCCTGTATGTAACATGGCACGGGGATCAGGTTTATCAGAAAGCACTACTGCCCAGTCTCTTAAATTAGTAGTGTCTTATCCAACCCTTACCTAGCCACGAGAGAAGTAGAGGTGGTAACTATAAGTGCCATCACATGCTATTAACGCAATAATAATTCTTTTATAAACTACGTTTAAAAAAGCGACTTCAATCCCCTCTGTTTTTGAAGTCGGTTAATTAAGAGGTTCAAACACTTTTCTGAAAATCGTATCAAAATCGCGTCTACCCCCAATCGCTAGATAATTGCACACACATACATACAGGTCAAGCTGAGAATCTCTGTTTTCCTTTTCGAAGTCGTTTAAAAATAAACTAAGGCATGTCCTTTCAGTTTCGTTTCCAATAAATATCTAACTTTACCATACGTTATTTAAATTATGTATTCAGACTGTTTGCGTATCTTCCGCTATTCTACGTCTATGTGCTAATTTGTTATGTAATCTTTACATTATATACGTAACAGGTTCGTCATATCATGCGTCATTCTGTCTCTTCTAGTGTACCGAATTTGGCGTTACTTGACTATGTTTTCTGAACCGATAAGACCTTCAAGAAAAGAGTGTATCTATGCTCCCTTCTGAAACTACAACGTAGCTCTTCTAACTTCTTTGGTGTTGCGGGTGTCCATTAGCGGCGCTTATTCCTCACCATCTTATTGCTCACCATCAGGTGATCCGTTTATCCCCAAAGATTTTCTCCCTAAAATGATAAACGCCTTTTGCCTCCTATTTAAAAAAAAAACAGCTGTGGAGACCGTTAAAGGTTACCGGGGCTCCTACTCGAAGGGCAGGAGTAGGGACGGAGTGGTTTCTAATCAGTAAAAGTCTGACACTCCCTCACGCCTCACCCAGGCGGGAGAAGTAGTTCGATGATACACCCCCGTAAAAAAAATCCTATTAAAACAAGAATGGTTTTTACTAAGATGGTATCGCGCCACTGCTGACCATGATTTTAGTCATATTAATCAAAAAAACCTCAAGATAACGGTATTATACTAACAGAACATTGTATGACTTTGACCTGTCTCGTTAGATAAGTTGGTAGG